TAACTTTTTTAACAAAAGTAAGTTGAAATAGTATTTAATATTCAATCACTCTTCCCTTTTTTCTTTTTGTTTTTATAGATTTGATTAAATAATTTATTTTTATTACTTATTTGAATAGATTAAGTAAGTATTAAGTTATCAACTATTTGTCATGTTTCACAAATTTTATGCGCATTTGTCTTAATTTTTCAAATGAATAATTAATTAATTTCGTTACACTTTATTGTAGCCAGTAATTTTATTTAGGTTGCTTCAAAACCTGGTGCACAACAACATGAAGAATTATCATCACCTTCTGTTCGTCATCCAATTTCTCGGCGATCTTTTACTGGACCATCTTATATGTCACATGCTCAGGATGCTAATAATTTCTATGGTGAAATTAGATTAGGACCACCGGGATATTATCGACCTTATTAAAAAACAAAATAAATAAATAAATAAATAGAAAAGGAAAAGATGATTTCATCAATTTTTCTTTTAACTATTTCATTTATTTTTATCATAAAGATGATAATGATGAAATACTTTTTACTTTTTTAGAGAAATTATGTTTTAAATTACAACTGTTAAAAGAAATATCACATAAATTTAGAAAAAAAAGGAAAAAATAAAATTTGAAATTTAAATTTTTTTTTTAGTGCTAAATTTACATTCCCAACATAATAATTTATGATTTTATTGATGGATTGTATGTGAATAGAAATTATTTTAAGGTAAATTTTATTGCTTAAAACAATTAGCATGAAATTTAAAATATTCCTCCCATTAATAATAGAAAATTAAATAATTTTGAATTTTTTTTTGATTTCAATAATATTAAATTTTCATTTTCTTATTTTGGAATTTTCGAAAATGCATACCAAACGCGTGTTTTAATTAATGCATTTATTGTGTGTATATGATATAATTTATTCAAATTTTTCATTCTTTTTATAATTTTTTCTTTTATAATTAAATCATTTTAATTATAATTACTAATGAGATAAGCAATTTGTGTATGATTGAAGAATTCTTTTTTTTTAAAAAGTTGTTTCCAATTAATTCAAAATAATTAGCTGTTTAAGATGATCTAATTAAAGACTACTGAAAAATGAAAATTTCCATTGGAAATTTTAAAAGTTTGAAAAATGCCTACTAATTATGTCGTGCCTCCTTTTGTCAGTGCATAATGCTAAAACCATTTACATGAAATCACAATTCAAAGAAAAAATCATATTTTAATTTGATGAGATTATTTTGAAGATGTGATTTTTCAAAATTATTGAGTTAAAAAAATTTTCAATTAATTAATTTTTGACTTCGTTAAAGAATTTGACGCAGTGACATTTTTTCAAATTTTTTTTTAATTTTAATTTGTTATTGAATTTGTTTATTGTTACATTTCTGTTTATTGGTATAGTTAATTATACACTTTTTTTCCTACTCCATTTTGTTATCATTCCATATGTAGAATTAATGAAATTTTTTATGCATTCCAAAAATTTAATGGATTGCTTTTTATTTAATTATTTGTTTTTTTTTTTTTTTGTTGCAAATTAAGTATTATCCATTATTTTCGTTTTTGTTTCAGTTTACATTTCAATGTTTACTAAAAAAAATTTTTTTTTTATTTTTGAAATATTTTAAAAATGATGAATTGCAAAAAAAAGAAAATGGTCAAAGATTAAGACTTAAAAAAATTTTAATTCTTTTGAATATTTCAAAATTTCCTTCGACCTTATTTTTTTTTTGAACTTTTTAATTATAAAAATTTTATTTATTTTCAGGCATAAATTTGAAATTAAAATTTTTTATTTTGAAAAAATATATTTTAATAAATTTGAACGTTTTCAGTAAATGTTTTTTGCGGTATATTGTGAAATGATAATACTATTTGGCAAATCAATGAATTTTCAATACGTTATGCATTTTGTTTTTAATTATTTCATTCCTTAAGTATTTCTATTCCCATTCCGTATATATATATATACATATATATGTATATAAGGAGCGGCAGATACAATACCAACTTATTAACTTATTATTTCTTGTTTATCAATTAAATTTGTTGCATTTTTCACATAGCAGTTATCCATTTGTCATTTAAATCAATTAACTGGAAATGACAATATATGCAAATTTTCCAATGATTATTTTTTTTTACTATTGAAGTTATACTTTAGTCCAGATATGACTAAAACATTATTTAGCCTTTTTTGAATGAATCAAATAAAAAATTTTTCTTATTAATTTTTCATCTAACTTTTATTGATGGAATTTGTATGAAAAAAAAGAAAAAGAATGAAAAAAGTGGTTACAAAATAAAAAAAAAGGTAAATTATAAAAAATAAAAACGAAATTCTTTTAAAAAAGAAAAGCGAAGTCAAAATTTGACGAAAAATATATTTACCTTAATTATGCTAATTATATTTTTTTTTTTTGAGCTTAACTTGTCAGAGATTATGTGCAAAAGTTATATACTTATGTGATTTGTATACCCTTGTCATTCATTAACATAATTGTTTGTTATTCAATAAAAATTATTACACTCATTAATGATATGGTTAATTAAAACAAAAGAGTAGGTGGTTACCAAAAAAAAAAACTAGCAAAACTTTTTTCCACTGAAGCAAAAATTTCAGAACATTTTTGCCGAGGACATTTCATGAACAGACTACACTTCTCAATTGTTGAAATTTCTACCTTAAATTTTCCTTTTCTAATTTTTTAAATTAAAAACTTTTTATTGCGAAAAAAGAAATTTTTTCATGAAGGTAAAAGTTATGAAATGAATGGATGAAAAGAGCAATGTAAGAGATGAATAAGAAATAAAGAAAGGACGGG